ATCACCCAGGTCTACGGCTTCTACGACGAGTGCCAGCGCAAGTACGGCAACGCCAATGTTTGGAAGAGCTGCTGCCAGGTGTTCGACTACCTCAACCTCGCCGCCATCATCGACGGCCGCGTGCTGTGTGTTCACGGCGGTCTCAGTCCCGACGTGAGAACGTTGGATCAGATCCGCATCATCGCACGTGCACAGGAAGTACCTCACGAAGGTGCCTTTTGTGGTAAGTCTGCTCTACCTGCCCTTTCCCTTGAGCTGCTCAGCGTCTGACATTCCTTTTCGGTCTTGGCGACAACAGACTTGATGTGGAGCGATCCGGACGACATCGAGACCTGGCGGGTGTCGCCGCGCGGAGCTGGCTGGCTGTTCGGCGGCGCGGTGACGAAAGAGTTCAACCACGTCAACGGGCTCTCACTCATAGCGCGCGCGCACCAGCTGGTGCAAGAAGGCTACAAGCTCATGCACGACAACAACATCGTCACGGTGTGGTCTGCGCCCAACTACTGCTATCGATGCGGCAATGTGGCGTCGATCTTTGCAGTGGATGACTTGATTGCGTACGAGAGCAAGAACGGCGCCTCTGCCCTCGTGGGTGCGGCAGCGAGCGGGCAAGACGAAGAGCAGGGCGACACCACCAAGACAGCGGCGGCTGCAGGGGAGGCACCACAAGCAGGCAAGCCTTGGGAGGCAACCCAGGCCAACTTCAAGATCTTTGATGCCGTGCCAGATCAGACGAGGACCGTCACCATGCACAGCCAGTATTTCCTCTGATCCCTCGTCCCCCAGGCCAAACGGATGCGCACTTGCCACGCATCGTTTCAGGAACTCCGTCCCCTCGTCGTCCAACCTTCGTTCTGGCACTCTAAAGCAGTTGTATTTGTAGCTCCCCTCATCTTTCCCCCACCCCATTTCCGTCCTACAACCCCCAAAATCGTACGGCCGACACTGACATAATGGCCCCGTCTCATTTCACTGTGTCGCTCTTTGGTTGGATCGTGCCAGGGAGGACAGACAATATGAAGATGCTTTGCGATGACGGAGGTACAAGTACAAAATGGCGGAAGGGGGTATCTATGCGATCGGTAGCTAGGGTGGGGAGCGGACTAGGAAAAGTGGATGCCCTTTTCGTGGAATGCGGCGAGCAGCTTGAGCAAGTCGTCGATGTCCATCTTTGCGGCACGGTTCTCTGCGGTCTCGGTGTCGATGAGTACCTGCTTGACGAGGTCGGCAAAGTTGTCCTGCGGCATGATCTCCTTGACCGCACAGTAGGTCTTGTAGTTGGCCTCGAGCATGTCGATCACTCCGCGTGCATCGAAGAAGCTCGCGCGGACCGTCTTGTTGCGCCTTGAAAACACGATGCGCGTCAGACCGTCAAACTCCTCGAAGGGAATCGCAGGCGGAGGATTCAAGGGCGTGATCCTCACGACGCTCGATTCGACTTGCGGAGGAGGTCGGAACGAGTTGCGCGAGACCTTCATGATGTGATCCACCTTCGAGTAGAGCTGCACGTTGGCCGAAAGTCGGCACCAAAGGTTGTCGCCGGGACGCGCGATGAGTCGCAGCGCAAACTCGCGCTGGAACATGAGAATGGCGCAGCGGAAGAGCGGTCGGTGCGAGAGCAGCTTGAAGACGAGCGGCGACGAGATTTGATACGGCGTATTGGAGATGCATACGTCAAAGTACGGCAGTTCGGTCTTGCAAAAGTCGCCAATCATGATGTCGAGCTTGCGCTGTTCGGGCCTGCAAAAGTCGTACAAATAGACAAGGTCGATGTGAGGTTAGCACGTCGTCCGACCAGTGTCGTCGTTGAGAGCAGAGCAGCAACGTGCGGCATCGACGCAAGCGAAGGCAGCAAGACTGCCAGCCAGGGAGTGCCGGCGGGTACTCTGAGTCGGTGATCAGCTATCTTGGAAAGTTGCCGCATTGTCCGGTTGCAACGCCGGGCTCGTACGAAAGATGGTAAATGATTGGATCATCATATCAAAAAGTCGACGGGATGTTGGCCTGCCTGGGCTCCTTGGACTGGGCTTGCCAGTCTTCGCTGCTGCTGTCGCTGCCGATGTCACCACTGGTGCTGTTTGTGATTTAAACTTACTTTCCCTGGACACGCTTGCTCAGCTCGGCGGCCATGCGCGGATCCATCTCGACGACGGTGGTCTTCTTGGCCTTTTCCAGGATGCGGACCGTAAGGTTACCGGTACCGGGACCTACCTCGAGCACCATGTCTGTTGGCTTGAGGTTGGCCTTGTCGACGATGCCCTGCGCGACAAGCGGGTTCTTGAGAATGTGCTGGCCGAACTTGTCCGTGTTGAAGATGGGATTCTTGGTGGTAGCGCTCGAGTTCTGGTTCGAGGCGTGCGCGGCGTTAGGGTTGGAGGCAGCGGTACGAGCCGAGCCTGGGCGCAGGCCCGCAGCCGGCTCATGCTGGCGCGATAGCTTGGCTGAGACCGCTCGCGGCATTGTTGCGATCGTCCTCGATGTTGATGGTGGGTGGGAAAGTGCTGAAGGAGCAGCAGTGGGTCTTGAGGTTGGCTAGAGCCAAAAATTTCCTGCCCTGCCAGAGCCTTACTCGTGAGAAAAAAAAGGCAGCTGCAAGAGCGTGGCCGCGGTGGCCAAAAAAAAAAA